CTACTGAGCATCGTCCCCAACAGGGTGGGGACGATGCGCAGTGAGCTACTGAGCATCGTCCTCAACAGGGGTTGGGGGTAAGCAGCAAGTGACGCTTTTTGACTCACCCCCACCACGCGAGTTGACTCTCCTGGTTTCTAGTCTTCTTGCATGAACCGCATGGAACGCAGCTCATCCTATGCGCACATTAACTCGGTTCTTTTTTCACATGCGCATGCAGCGCATAGAGAAACGGAATGGATCCATTGCAGTTCATGCATACGATTGTAAACAGTCGAGATAAAAAATATAAGTCTAATGGGCATTTGGAATAAATATTACAGTGCTGCTTTTTAAAGAATCTTGGTTCAAGGTTACAAAACTTATATACGATATTAATTCGGGTAAAAAATTTTTCATGTATGAATATAAAATTTGTACCTACAAACATACATAAACATGTATAAATAATCGTAAATATATATACTTATATATAAAACTTCCATACATACATATGCTCGTACATCCTTCTTCTTTTTGTAAAATTACATTTTAATGCAATAAAAATAATAACAATAATAAAGACATTAAAAAAATTAAAATGATAATTTTCCCATTATTTCTCTATTATTTTCCCATTATTTGTTTTAAAAAAGAAATCTGGAGAAATGTAAAAAAATTGCTGATAATTTTTTATATGTAAAATTATACATAATTATGTACGAGTATGAATAATTTTTTTTACATTTCTCTAAATTTGATTTTTTTCTAAAACAAACAATGCGAAAATTGTCCCTTTAATTTTATATTTGACATTTTCTTATTATTATTTTTATTACACTTAAGGCCGCAGCACACACTCTTGCATAACGCATAATCCATAGTACATAAGGGAATCAACCAATCGAAATTCTTCTTTTTCATGGAATGGGAGGAAAGGAAAGCTTCTGATTAGTTGATTCGCTTATGCACTATTCATTATGCGTTATGCAAAAGCTTGTGTCTGGGCTTTAAAAAACAATTTTACAAAAGAAAAAAGAATGAATAAACACACGTGGATATATATAATTACATATGTAATTATAATAATTGTATATAACTTCATATACAATTATATATGTTTATAAATATTTATACATATTTATATATATTTATATACACGAACCATGTTTTTCCCATATTACTTACTATCAGTTGCTGCTATGAATTCAGCGTTGAATACGTTTAATATTTATAATCCATCGTTTTTGTAAACTTGAAGTTCCTTCATTTTTAAAGAAATGTGGTTTTTCACACAATAAAATGTCATACAATAACAATAGGATATATAGGTGGATTCTAATTCCGAATTAAAATCCGCCTATATACCCTACTAATAAATAGAAATAATTAGTTACTTTTTCCCGCCTAAAATGGCTAACGTAATCTTTGCGCATAGATATCGCATGGACTGCCTCACCTCGGGAGCTGATGCAGCCCGTGCGCTGTCTTAGGGTCCGCGCACAAAGATGGGTCCGCGCACAAAGATGGTCGCAACTGAGTCGTAGTCGTAAGTCGTTGTCGTAGGTCAACGCACAAGGATTTTACGTATGTCGTTTACGTATATCCTATTGCGCCAGTTGTTTGCGTCAACTGACGCAATAG